GCAGTAAAACTGTCTCGTATTCTGTATGAGTTAATGATTTTTAATGATAATATTTATAATTTCAATTAATAATATATTTTTAATGATAGATTGATGATGATGAATGATTATGATGATAGATAGATAGATAATGCCTTTTACAGCCCTGGATGACTGTTGATGTTTCTACAAAGCCGTCTAAGTGGGTACATTTATCTCTACTACTTGTTTTATAAGCCATACTTCAGGTTGAATGAGATATAGTAAAGACATTTCAGGTACAATGGCAATAGCAACTCATGATACCACGCGTGCCATAACGAGAGTGTTATTTGTGTGAGTGTGAATGTTATTCCTTTAATATCTTAAACGTGATCTTTATTTTATTCATTCCTATAAATTCCAAGAAGTTTCAGTGCTGTATTACACTAGTTGTTTTACAAAATTCATAGGTAGTTGGTTATTGATATTACCGTATCAAAATTCCAGAACGCGTCTGAAATTGTTGATATAGTAAATGTGCACTTAAATTAAACATTCCAGTTTATTTCTGTATAAATGCGTGTGTAGGACTCACTTACATCAGGGCTTATGAAAATATATGTATATTTGACATTCGACTACTCTATTTATTCAAATGAATATAAAGACGTTAATAGTACTGCGTTTTCGTACACTCCCCTTTCAATGGTTGTGGGGTGGGTTCCATTGACGATTTATTACAGTATAATATTTTTTTATAATTTTTGATTCTTATTTATATGATTTGATTTTTATTTATTTATTTCATGCTACTAATGGCCCTTATTATAAATATCTTATAGACTAACATAGATATGTAATACGGTAGGGAATAAATAATAGTAATATAAAAATTTGACGTTCATAAGCAGCTAAAATGTCCTACTTGAATAAATGATTTTTGAATTGAATTAATATATATTACTAGCTACCCGCCCCGGCTTCGCACGGGTGTACATATATTATATATATAAACTCTTGAATGACACTATCTATTAAAAAATCAAAAGCTTTAAGCATACATAAAGACGGACAGACAGCGACAGCGACTTTGTTTTATACTATGTAATGATAAATAAATATAAATATAAATCGTCTCTGTGGTCACGGCAGTGACGACGCCAATCTGCCACGGTAGCGCCAATACACCACCTCTTTCGGCAGTAGCCATAAAGGTGAGCAGTAGGCCTCCTTCATGAAGATGGACAGTAAAATATTAATTGGTTTTCCGAGTATTTTGGTTAGTGTTGGCGAGATTTGAACTCACGACCTCTTTGGTGAAATTCAGTGCAGTCTTCCTACTACGTTGGATTTAAAGCAAATTTGAACATGTCAAATGTTGTGTTCACTACAACTTTGACAGTTGACAATGACTCTGACTGCCCCATTTGGGATATCAGTTGTGGGGTAGCGCAACGAGTTCTTGTGTTTTTTGGTTTTCTTCTTTTGAGACTCGCTATATACCTATATTCTAGAGTAAACCGGTACTTATTGAAAATTCTCAAGACGTCTCTCGACGTGCCTATTGCTAAAGTCGAGAGACCGCGAAATTATACTAAATCTGGACAGAGCATTGGTTGAACCCCTAGTGGTGCCTTCACATTGAAGTCGTTTGTATCATACAGGAGTTGGTCTTCAAACAAATGGTGGCAACCCTAGTTGAGTGGTATGCTAATGGCGTGGAATTCCGATCCAGTGTCGGTTGATTTAGATAGATATCTAGATGGCATTCCCGACACGAACCAGCCGTTTCTTAATACACGTAATCCTTCGTATAATCCTTAAACTTATAGAGCAGTAGATAGCAAATCCCATAAACATAGGTAATTTCCTTACCGCCTTTTAAGTGTCAACAAACACATTTTAATTGTTACAGTGTTACATAATTTTTTTTAATTAATAAAGTAGAGGTCAGATTCAGACAAGACTAGTTAAAATAGTTTTATTAGACTTAACGTTCCTAATGATAAATACTCTATGTAGTATTGTTGGCAAATCTTAGTTAATATTATAATCGCAAAAGTTTGTGAGTATGGATGGACAGAAGCTTGGATGTTTGTTATTATTTCATAGTTTTTGCATAGTTCTCACACAATTTATTACGAGGTTTGTTGGAGTATGAGTACTTTTATTCAAGTTGATCTCCACGCAGCTCCCTCTGGAAACCATCATGTTACAGTCCTGGTGAATTTGCTATAATGAGCTAATTGATTCATTTTATCATCGTCTTTGCCAGCGTAAATAGTAAGTTATTGTTCAGTGAAAGCAAACAAATCAATTAGGTATGACTTTATATATCGACAAATTAATGTATATTTATTCTCTGTCAAGTGTACGACTGATTTATCCGAGCAACTGGTGTCATCTCTTTGTGAGTCACCGAATATTGCACGTGCGTTTATTTAGTTATCTCTCTTTTGCCTTCATCTTTGTACAAATATACGTGTACAAATTTGACAATTCACTTTTTAATTTTAATTTCTAACTTTATGAACAATTCCTAAAATAATCCGGCTCGAAGAACCAATTAAGATTCTCTCTTAATTAAAATAAAGAAAAACAACTTTAGTTATATCGGATATTGAACCATTAAAGAAGCTGTAATGTTGTAATATGCAATTCTATATTGACAGCCGTTCAATTTTTAATAATAATAACAATAGATAATAATACACACAAAACTAACTACCATTTCAGATAAAGTTTTAAAATACCAGGATCTTGCAATAGAGGTAAAAACACAATGGCGAGCTGAAACTGTATATACTGTACCTATTGTACTTTCGTCTACGGGTATTGTACCCAAAACACTTCAAAATAGTCTGCAAACAAATATTCACCCTTCCAAAACATATCTCCTACAAAAAGCCACAATACTAAATACCTGTCGCATAACTCGAAAATTCTTGATCTCGTCAACAACATCATCACACAGCACAACCTCTCCCACACTTGACTAAGGCCCGTGTAGGTGAGTATTACCTTCTTTTAAATTTGTAAAGGAAGAGAAAGAAAGAGAAAAGATAAGAATAATAATAATATTGTTTTGGTCCGTAAGTGTGGTATACGCCGTAAAGCGTAAAAACCCAGCAAAAAAGCTGAGAAAACAAAATATACAAATAATAATAATAATTTATTTGCTCAAAAATTAATTAGTAAACACCTATTAATCAAAGCATATTTTACACATGCAGATATTGCCTGCATATAATACGAAACCAATAATGATTTTAATATAACTTTTTCTTTTTTGTTCAGTTCGGAAAATTAGAAATGTTTTCCCAATTATATTGTAAAGTAACTTATTTAATTATTGTATTTAATATGAAGTAATAAAGATCGTAACATTTATTAATAAATATAGGAGGAGGAGGGAGAAAACTAGTCAGATTTTATAAGACTAGGTCGTCGTTTTTATTAAAATTAACGCATACTCTCTCCCTTCCTGTCTGACTCAAGTATAATACGTACCTATGTTTTGATAAAGTAATAAACAAACAATTAATTATCCCTACGAATCAAGTGCTTTCGATGACTACTTATCGTCTAAATATTTATAGCGCATAAATTCTATTTCCGCTTGCATTCGTATCCAAGCTCAATGTTACTCATAAGATATAACCGAGTTTGGTTGGAATGTAAATATCGTTATGATGCGTAACTTATTCGTAACAGCTGTCGACCAGTCGGCCAAGTTCGGTATACACTCCATGTTTACTGCTGGATATAATAAACAGGGACATATCGGCTCACACTTCACATCTACTCAGCTTAATAGGGAATGCATATTTGCATTCATTTGAATGTATCTTTTTTATAGATGAACTAGCTGTGCCCGCGGTTTCAGCCGCCTAAAATTTCAATAAAAATATAGTCTATATGTTATTCTGATGCATAAGATATATAGCGTGAAAGAGTAACCAACATCCATACTCAATAACTTTCCTGTTTATAATATTATTAAGATTGAGGTATGGATTAGTGTTATACATTAATGTAGTGTTTTTTTTATTAATGATAACGGAATGGGGCACCAGCTGCGCTAACGGTTTACGCTAGCGAGAATTATAAGATGAAAATGTGGAGCTCAGTTAGCCCATTGTGATAAATTCACCAGGAACTTATCACGATAATTTCCAGATCCATTTCCCCCTGAATATACTATTATACTGTTAGCGCAAGTTGCAGCAGATGGGTGTGTTCCGTATTCATCTGCTTTTGGGGCCGCAGTAGAGAATGATAGATATAGGTTGGGATTAAAGTCAGTTGAGTGGCGTGGCGAATTGACCAGGAATTCACTACTATGGTTTTAGGGGAGATCAAGTATAATCTGACGTGGTACTTAGTACATTCCTAGCCATGAGGCTAATAGTTCGCATTACTGAAAATATTCTCCCAAAACTGGAACATATAAGACAAAGGAATTGAGAACTTTGTATTAATGTTGTTCCAAGTTCTACAAGCGTGTCCCCACTATTGTGTTCGTGGTGACAGCTCGACAGTAAGTCTGAAAACGGGACGTATAGTCACGTTAGATATACTATGATGTTTATCGTAGGATATAAAAAACAGGGACATATTGGCTCACGCTTCAGAACTACTTAACTAATGGAGAATGTATATTTGCATTAAATTGAATTTAGCTGTCGGTTGGTAGATACTATCGACAAAGTATACGATGTGCACATGAGGGAATAAATAGCATAGTTTAGTAGGTGTTAGCTGATATCTATCGACATCTGAGTCACACCTAGTAGATAGTTGTGAGTTTTATTTTTATGTAAAATGAACATTTAGAGTAGGTATGTTTTATTTCAGTCTGAAACTGGATATTTTGGATTCATGATATTATAAAATAGTAATAGGTATTAGAAATAAACCACAAAAAAGGAGACGAAATATTTGATAAGCTAGTTTGTAACCAGCAATTTAGTAGTAGCAAATAGTTTAACTTGCAAAAAAATAATCTTTTATAATCTGTAATAATTTTTCATCTTCAGGCAACCCCAACGATAAGATTCTATACGGGCGACCAAACAAACGGCGCAGCGCGTCATTCCCCGCCCCACGATCACTGGACCGGCGCCACTCGCTGCGAATCTTCGGCTCTTCTAGCAAGTACCTGCAGCGGTGCGCTTCCACTCGCAGCCTGCACCACAAGCACGCAAACACGACCGACAGCTCGTCATCCACCGATTACCCGCCGAGCGTCGAATCCGCATCACCTAGTGAGTGCTCGTTAAGGGCTGCGCAGACGAGGGACACTACTTAGAATTTTTCTCTCTGTAGACGAACGCTCCGTCGTCTGCGCAAGCCATTACCGTTGACCTTTAACCTTACATCACATTATTAGGTATAAAAACCGAATTATAGCAAATTACTATGAACGGCAAAAAAGCTACCGACCCGTTTGGTGAAAGTAATAGATATATGTAATTAGTTACAGAAGCATAACCAATATAAAATTTTGTGTCTTCAAATAAGTCGGATTGTATGGAACTATATATACTCATTTTATAACCACTGTGCACACCACAATCCTCGCAAAATAAACAATTTCATTTCAAATATAGAATTGAAAATATCAAGATCATTACAGCTTATACTGATCTCAATACTACACTTTATGCTTTAGCATTAATCCAGAATTCTAATGTATTACACCTTTATACCAGATTGCTCATTCACCTTCTTACCATGGACATCAAAAGCAAAACTCGTGAAATTCATCGAAATGTGAAACTTCTAATAAAATTTACGCGTTATGTTTACTTTTTTATTTTCCATCTATCAGTCTTTGTACCATCAAGTTGCATACTAAAAGCTTTTTGATAGCTTAAATAATCTCAAAAAGGCTTTGCAATTCTAAACCAGTCAACAGATCAGTGCTTGCAGTCTTTCAGGTTAAACATTCTTGCAAGCAGCTCAAAGTGCATCGGATATTATAGTGAGTTCATTTATAACTCACAGAGCCTACTTCAATGCAACATCAGTAAGTATGTAGCGTAAGCTATCTCTACCAGCATATTGGTAGCCATAACTTCGAGTGTGTACGTAGGTATAAAACATACTTATTAAAAGTGACAAACCTATGAACAGTAAAATTCTACACGATCTTGAAACATCATTAATCTTAATTGGTGAGCAGACAGTTATTTCAATAAGTGATGAACTCTAACTAACTTTTAGTTAAAGAATCTCAGGGAATATATCTACCTAGGTACAACAGAAAATTGACATAGTTTAAATGGATTCCTATCGAATATGTTAGTTTCAATAAATTATCTGAAATTATTGTATTTTATACACAGTTGAATATGTCTGAACATATTTTGCATAACATACCAGCATATTGCATTATACTAATCTACATTAAGTTGTAAATTTCAGAGTTAGTGCGATTCTCTTGATAGCACTTAGGTATTATGTACCTACTCACTATCGATAATTTATTCAGTCACTACTATATACAACATTAGAGGTTATAACTTCATCTAGTCAAGTCTCTATTACACTAATTATTTATTATACTAGTTTCAGGGTTAAACAGAGCGACAACTATACGCCTTCATTACTAGTTAAAAAATGTATTGTGTGACTACAGAATTCATATTCAAATTCTGCCTCTTATTAATCAATTTTACTAATAAGGAAGTATACTTTACTAAGTAACAGTTACACTACAATCAGAATACCGATTGAGAGATCAAGTAGATAAAATAGTTCCTAGTCATTAATATATACATAAATCTTTTGCAGAGAAAGTGTCCCTGCTGTCCCGCTTATTCAGACGAAGCGGTCGCAGCAAGCAGACGAGAGCAATGAGCACCTTCTCCGCGCAGTTCCCGCCCACCGAGTGGTTTAATTCTAAAGCGGTGCATCTGCATTGTGTCGCCACACAGACCAACTCAAAGGTAAAGACTGCATATATCTAATTTCACAACTGATATATATTATAGGGGACAAACGAGTTTGCTCACCTGATGATAAGTGATTACCACCACACATGAGCACCTACAACACTAGGGGAATTACAAGTACAACTTTTACAAAGGAATAAGCTCTTTTCTTTAAGGTTTCAATATAAGAACATAATAATAAGAACTTTAGCGTTATGCTTAAATTAGTAATATTTTCAAAGGAAGCAGCGACAAGAAATACTTATTAGTATTATAAAGATGAAATTTTTTTCATGTTTTTATTTATAAACTCTACTAAACAATTTTAATAATTAATTCACTTAAAGATACCCCCAATAATATAGACTACATTCCAAGGCAGAGTCATGGGATATACCAAGTAATTGCATTACTTGGTATATCCCACGACTTAATGCCGTCTACATATCAAGACAGTCATTACAATAATATTTTTATTCGTGTTACAGGAGTCATTGCAGAGTCAGACATCTTTCGTGTCATCGTACTATGACGGTTCCGAAATTAGTAATCGGTCATCGACTTTGCCGCGTCGACACAAGAGACATCTATCTACCGAATCAGGTCTCGCCGGCTCCGTCCATTATGACCACTCGCCGATCAGGCAATCCAGCCCTAGTTCAGGAAGTCTGCCGCGGTCTACATTAAGTAGAAGCTCTACAAACAAGACCATTCTAGATCATTTTGGGTCACCGCAACGAAACAGCGATCCAAAATTAAGAGAAAGCCCAAACGGTAGCTTAAGAAGGGTAGACTATTCCCATTCGGACCACGTAATGTCGACTAGTGGTCCATCGAGTTTAGAAAGTACAACCACGCAGCGCACACCGAGAAAAGACATCAACAAAAATGGCCACATTGATCAAAATTCACCAATCAAACGCAATTATCATACCAGTGGGAGTAGTGGCCATTCAAGTCTAGAATCGCACATATCAGATCGCACGTTAAAACCTTCACCTAGTCATAACACGCACGGAACACCTGGTCTAAGCAGAGCTCAATCTCTCGTGAAGGTACAGAGTCTACAAAGCTCCCCGAAAAGCCTCCACAAGTTTAGAAATAAACCGCCTATAGTCGGTGGGGAAACGGTAAAAAATAAAAGCACGTCACCCAAAAGTACACCAAAAAACTGTCCTCCCACGCCCAAAAAAACCGCAACCCCTCTGCATAAAGCCCTTGGTTCCAAAGTAGAAAACCCTTCGACTACTATGCTGGCGAGCTCCAATTCTAACAATTCGATTACACTAAAAGTTACCACGAATACTATGTCGCAAAGTGGTGGTGGTACTAACACCAAAGTATATGTACAAAATTCACCTGTTAGATCTGTTATCACATTTGAAAATGGTAAAGTTACTGATACCAGTAACGGAAGCAATATCTACATTATAAATGATGACAGACAAGTTTTGTCAGTATCTCAAAACGGCGCCAGTAAGCACACGACAAAAAATCCTACTGAAACATCGTTCGACGTTTGCGTTGAAAAAAATAAACAAGTAAACCAAGAGCCTGAACCTATTAAAGTACAAGAAAACAAATTTAATAAGAATTCAATAAACGACACGGGTATGAATAATAATCGTAAACTTTCTTTGCAAATAGGTGGAGTAACTAATAACAACAGCTTTGTATACAAGAATCAGTTGAATAACACTAGCGAGGTTGCATCAAATCCTACATCTCCAGCAATACACAACAATATACATAGTTTGGAAACAACTACCAATAGCAATCCTTCTACTCCCACCAAAAGTTATGATAACATTATAGGATCTTTGGGTAGCCTGCGATACCAGAAAAATGCATTATCGTCGGCAAACAGCGGTATACAAACAAATATTAATTCAAACAGCGAGTTGAAAAGTGTCGATTTATTAAAGAAAGCAGCGGCATTACAAATGTTGAACGGTCTTCCAAACGTAAACAACAGAATGAGCTCCGATTCCATAGCGAATTTATTGACGAAGGCGATAGACCAAAAACCGACAGTATTAGGATCCGAACCGAATTTAGCGTTAAAAAATCAGGAGCATATAAAAGATATAAACACCTCTACTGAAAAAATTAACAGTTTGGAAAATAAACAAAAGAGGTACAGCTTGAGCCAAGACAGCAAGAAAGATAATCAAGATTTCTATAACTTTCCAAGTTTAAGTGACTTGAGCTTTAATTTTACTAGTTTAGCGGCTCAGAAAATATTAAAAGGGGTCAGTATAAATAGTGTTGACACACTTGTAGAACTTAACATGGCTGCAAACAACACGGAAAAACGGAACAACCGCGAAGTAGCAGCCGTCTGTACGGATTTCGGCCTTGTATAGTACTTAAAATATCATGTTTAAATGTACAATAGTAGAGTTAACCCTGTACAATTTAAGGTAGTTGTATAACTTATTCATAAATATTATATAACATTCTTTATTACATATTAGTTCGAATCTTATTATCGATAAGATTTTATACTCCCAACTTATCGAATTATCGCCTAATATCATTGTATCCATCTAAATAATTTGTTTGTCTTTACTAACTTATCATTCAAAATACCAATGTAGAAACATATAGTGATACTCGTAAACAAAGTTGTAAAACATTTTCAGAAAATGCATAGTTTGTAGCTCACTTTAATTATAACGAGACAATAAAGACCGCACCAAATAATGGAGGTGGCCTAATGTACGGAAACTTAGTGCCTAAAACGATCTGGAAAAGATCATGTTTTAAATTTTGTAGCCATATCTAATCTCCCAATTTACTAATATATATAAGTATTTATACATTGTAATCTTTAATGATTTTGTCTTGGGCACAACTTCATTACTGGGATAAGGACAGAGCTTGGATTATAAATTGAGACCGTCCTAAAATTTAATGTAACAATTCTATACATTATAAGTACCTATATCTTACACAAAGTCATGATATTAACTTCCTCAATGTTACTATTCTGAGGATGATTTAAATGCAGTTTATTAAGTTGAATTGAGTTATCCATCAAGACACCATACTTCGAATAGATGGATAAGCATTTATTTATGTATTCTGTTTATTTAAAATCTATATATGACGTATTAAATACACAAGTCTACTCTTAACTCAATCGATCAGCGATGGAATAGATGCGAACGTTCCTGTAGGTACCCTTAAATTATAAGCTAGCAACGACGAAATTTCATACTATGTCGCAATTGAATAAGCAAACTGATATTGTTGCAGCCTCTGACCAAATAACAACGGTAAAAAATATATAATTTAAGATGTATTTTATTCTCATTACACCAGTACTAAAGCTCTGGACTGGCCAAAGAAACGATTGTGCTGAAAATTGGATTGGTAAATTGAAATTACACTATACATTAAAATAGACCTTTTAGCTAATTTCTCATATTGATCTGCTCTTTTAATCTAAATAACGGTGAGTAAGATGAACAAATACTTGAACAAAAAGCATTCTCTTGTAAGTTAAAAATATAATTTCGTTTTGTTTGTCCTACAAAAATATTCTTAGACATGCTAAGATTGTGTACTAAATATGTCACATATAGAAAAACAATTTAATTTAATATATGAGTGTGCCCAAGGTAGACTTAGATTTTCTTCTGCTATTGTGGAACTATCCATATACCCAGCACTTCTTTTCGTGCCATCATGTTTCCAGTGAAAAAGTTGAGTACAAACTAGTATACATGCCTATCTCCACTAACAGATTCCATCCACAAATGGGAATTTATAGGAATGTTTTGTAAAATGTATGTCATGTTTAAGTGCCATATATAAAACCATAGTATTATGTACGATGTGAACCAGCCAGTGGTGAGGGGCCATAAACTTAAATATAAATTACGTCACACGAGTTGGGGCGAGGAGTCCAAAAAGTGTGACAGAGTGGCAGGAGTCAATACGTCACACTTCAAAATCTATTTTCTCTAAGTATTAAAAAAATGTCAACAAAACACTTAAGTAACTATATTTCCAACTCTATCTAAACGATCATAAAATTTAATTTGTTTTACAAAATATGTAAAACACTAGAGGGTGCGTCCCACAAATGTGACTTGCTGTGACAAGTATAAACGAATCCTGTATAGAAATAATTAAATTCGTGTGACGTAATTTCTGGATAGGCCCCAATTATGGGAATCCGTTAAAAACTGTGCTCTGGTATGCAAAAGGGTATTTATTCATTAGAGAATGTATCGAAAGTCATCAATGCATATAGTTTAAGTATTTAGTAACGCCATTAATGTAAAAATGTATTAACAATATAAGTTGATGCTTTATATTTTTGTTTTATTAAACCAGCTATTTGTAGAACCTATGAATGCTTTACATATATAGATTTGTACACTAAATATACTTGCATGTAGATATTGTCCAGTTGTCCTCTAAAAAAATTTAGTATCAAAAGTTGGTAAGGATTTTAATTATTATGACTGAACCCAAAATTGTATTTGAGGTAGTTTATGTACAATTTTAGGTCTCAATTAAAATTATATTGGTACATCCATAGACATCATGTTAAGAAGAAGAATGACACTAGCTAAATTTATACTTGGTATACATAATTATGATAAATATATAATTTTGTTTGAGGTGAAAATCAAGCAAATGCTCTTCTTCATGGTAAACAAGCACTAGCTCTCAAAAGCAACTGTAACCATATACTTGCATTGTCTACCCATATAATGTGGGCATTATGAGTTTGGTAATGACCTTAGCATACAGGATAGTTCCATATCAATTCATACCATGGCCAACCAATACCAATTGGCCATGATGTAGTAATTAGGCTAACTTCTATCTTATCCTTATATTCCACTGTTACTCTGCCAGCATATTATGTTGTACAGATGGGATTGCTATTCCATCATGATATATTTAAAAATATATTATTATATTGATTCTAACATACCCAATAATTTTACTGATTATGTTATTAAAAAGACCACAATATCATATACCAAATAAGATATGTAAGAAGATTCAGTAATCTGTTTCCTGTATCTATGAATTAATTAAAATTTATAATTTTTTTATGTAAAATATAAAAATTTATTCCATCTGCCTTAAGTAACAAATTTTAAGTAAACTGATATAAAGATTAAACTAAGTAAGTGCTAAGAGCAAGTAATAGTACTGTGCTCCATAGAGTCCGGTTGGACTGGCTCGGTCTCTGTGTGGCTCTTTATTGTATTCAACCAATCATCAGTTGGATTTATTTTCTTCACTTCTTCTGAACAATCACTCTTCTCATCCTCTCCAGCATTCTCAGAACTGTCCACGTCATCATTCTCAGTACTATTTACACTATCATCACAAGTTCTTAATGGTGATACAATTGAATCTAAATTCCTAAACTTTTTTGATACATCGTCTGCTTTTATATGCACATAGCAAACACAATTCCCCGTTCTAGTTACCTCTTTTATAGCAGCCTCTTCTATAGCCTCTAACTCACTATTGTCTTCGTCCTTAGTCAATTCCTCTATGGTTTTATATGAATACATATGATCATCGTTTGGATTTACATAGTCCTCCAATGTAAAAGTACTACTATCAAAATTTAGCTTTTCAAAATCTATAACCCCGTAATTACCTATACTATCAAATAACGTGGACTCATTTGCATAACATACTTGTACGTTTTGAACACAATTTCTTTTCAAGTCTTTGTCGTCTTGGCATTGTTTACGTATAGCGTCCAGCTGCCTTAATGTCTTCAATTCTCTAGCTTTTAAAGTTGCATATAAACGAGCGAAGGACTTTCTCACTGTAGATTTTAACTGAAAATATTATGTTTAATTATTAAAAAATATAAAATAATAAAAGTTTAAGAGTTACCATAGAAAACACTCACATTTTCGATAACTTCGTCTAAATCATATGAATCACTCGCCATGTTTACGTTTTTTGTTTGACAGATTGAAAAATGTTACCCTACCAGATTCTACTTCTACTAAAAACATTTCCGCATAAGTAGCAAATTCGTTAGGTATGGTTTCGAGGGGGATCAGTGAGGAGGTCGTCTTATATTATCTATTTTTTATATAATTCTCTTAATTCTATTTGTACGCATAGGATTATTATTATTTTTATCAGGTTGACCTCCATGCTGTTCCCCCAAGAAATTATCGTAATAAATTTCTGCATAATTTGCCACGAAAGGCTAATTGTACTGACCTCAAGCTCAACTCAACTTGGACTGCCTCGCCAACGTAAATCGTTATTGCAGGCGGGAGCATAATTACATTATTAGTTATTTAAAAAATGGGACCCCTAGTCAGCAATAATATTAATTTCTTCCGTTAATGAAATAAATTTAACTTTAAAACTAAATTTATTTCTATAGATATCCTGATTTCTTTCTAAATAAATTACTAAGGAAAAATTATAAAATGCCATCTAAAATCTCAATAAAACCAGTGTCTTGTTTTCTGGCTATAATAAAAGGAAGTATACATAAAATATATTTTTTCTTAATTATATGCTAACATGAAGAAATATATACATTTTGGCTATTTTATTTTTGTTATTACTCCCAATACTACCGAAGTAATACATCTTTGCATGGCAACACCATTAAAAAAATAGTTATTGATTTTTCATTTGACGTACGAGTCGTAGGAAAACATTCATCTATTTTGGATATATCTGCACTGTTATTAATAAATTAATATATAATTTAAATTGTGAATAAAGTATAGTTTTATTATCGTGTTTTTGTGTTCTTCACTTTTGCAATCATGAGTGAATTGAGACACCGTCGTGAAGGCGACGGTAACGAGAAGGCAGAAACTGCTGGAGAATCGGATCATGTAAAAATATTTTTTGTTTATTCTGAACCTGTTTTGGAGCACTTCCGTGTTCACATTATAATATTTTTACGTTTCGTATTAGGTGGATTCAGAAGAAGAGAAAGTACTAGAAGAGAAATATGTGGACGAAATGGCGAAAAATTTGCCACAAGGCACGGATAAAACACCTGAAATTCTCGATTCAGCGCTGTCCGGCTTATCTACGAGGTAAAACTTACTTTAATTTGTCTAGATCTATTACCTAATTTTATATTTCACTGTGGATGACTATTAAACCACTATTTTATATAAAATTTTATAATTTACTGCCATTTTAATATGTATTTTGTATTTCCAGTAATTTCCAGAATTTTATTTATTTTTACTCATATTGTCTGAATGACAAATATGAACCTAAATTTACTGAGTATTCATCTACATCTGAAATTATATATACATTCATAAATTTATTAATTCTTTAATTTTTTCATTTGTTTTGATTCATAACAAAATTATTTGCCTTTATAAAAAAATGTACTACCAATTGTGGTAAAATAACTTTGGGCCAAAGGCAGTCATTCAATAAGGAAAAACATGTAACAAACAAATTATAAATAAATTATTTTAGAATTTCTACCCTTTGATTTGTTAGTTAAAATTTGCCAGAGCTAAAATGGCCTAATGTTTTTTGTATGTCCTGTCAATTTAGTGTAATGTACTAAAAATATTTTCTAAATTAAGTATCACAGATTCAAGCATAATAGTAGAGATAATCAAATTTCCTAATCAAATTAATTTATGGTGTGAGGCAAATTCATATAAGAAAAGCTTTCATGTATAATGTGTATTATAAGATAATTTTATTATTCAAAACAATATTTATGTAGTAAAGTGGTTCAGTATGTGACCATTACACATCATAAGAAATCTTATTAATATTTGGTATCATTTTCAATATTTGCTTAGTAAACATACTGACTTACCTTGACTCATCTGATCCTTGACATTTTACATAATTTTATTATACTTATAAAAACAATGCCAGCATGAATAAAAGATATATTGTTAAATATATATTTTAAATCTATATATAGCTGTTTTAGTTTAACTTAATTTAACATTTTAAAATAAAACTCAATGAAGATTCCTTATTCAGAAACTTAGTGTAGAGTCTTTCAATCATATCAAGTGTTTAACCTAATTTACCTATAGCTAATTAAATATATTAATAAAACACCTTCACATTTTGGCATGTTGCAGATGAGTATTTAATGCATAAGAAAAGTACTTATAAGATATGTTGGTGGTCTCTTTATTTACTACAAAACCTAAACTTTAATATGTATTATTATAATGAGCTATAATAGCATTTAAAATAATGAGGGTAGAGTTTCATGTCAATCCTTCTCAGCTTTTCCTCTACAAAATATGTTCCGAAATGATTAGATTGGAACTTACATATATCTGTATAATAGACCTACATTCAAAAATATATTTTAATTAGTTTTGACTTGACTGGACACTTTACTGTGCAACTTGATAAATACAGATCTAGTAGAAAATCAATAATAGTGTAAGTAGTAGTAAGTAGTGCAATGTAAATGTCAATAGAATTGCGGGAGTCAATAGATACAGGTAGCTCATATTATCCGTTTGGGATTTTTAGTTGTTTAAGAATCCAACTATCATAATACCAACATACCCCTCCTGCAGGGGGATAATTTCTGAAGATTTTTTGAAAATAAAGGTGTTGTGTACTACAAATTATTGAAGTGATTGTTTCATCATTTCAAGTTTTGTATCAGTATCTATAGTACTGCTCTATCTATATTGCTGTAATCAAAATACATATTTATTCATATAAGGTCTGTTACAGAAATTTATGACCAAAATAAATAGTTCAGAAGGGAAATTGTTCAGAACTAAGAAGAAACTGTTCTAATTCTCTCAAATGAGAATACACATAATAATATTTAAGATGGGGAGTAAAGTCTAAATAATACTATGTATGTCATTACATACTATCAGTCTTGTTTTATAAACGTTGTTAAAATATACCTATGTTTCTTTTTGAAGTAACATTTATTGTAGATGGAGGAACTGGGTGATTCGAGGAATCTTCACCTGGTTGATGATTGCTGCGTTTTGCCTGTTGATCTATGGAGGACCATTGGCTTTGATGATCACTGTAAGTCATTTCTTTATTTACGTGCCATGGTATGTTCTATAATAAATATACTAACAACGCGCAACCAAAGCGGACGAGGTGCGAGGGCGGGATGGATGTATCAATTTATTTAGTTCAAGACCGCTGCAATTTATTTTCTTGCGCGTAGTATTTAATTTACGACGATTCCTAAGATATTATTGTAATTTGTATGATGTAAAGGTCTATTACAATGTGTATGAAATCCTTAGGATACCTATGCAATTTGTAATATGTTTAGTATGAAATATTTATCTATCTATTTCCTATTCCGTAGATACAATTTCTGCACTAAATGCTTCCATACCCCCCTCCTCCTTGTTTATATCAATAAAAATTCTTTTGTATAGGAACTACGTCTTCTATTTAATTTCATGCTTATAAACTTTTCTATGTACGATCTATTTGTCATCTAAACCGATAAGCATTATAATATTATTATATGTATCCTAGTGCCCATTGTAGTGTACATGTGGAAACTATCTTCGTACACCTCGGTTTTCGAATAATACGCTTTATATTTTTATTTTTGTGAACCAAATGTAATTAAAGAAATTTTCTGCACCCAAGCAATATCTTATTCTCCCAATACTTTGGCGTCTGGTCACCCGTATCTACTATCGAGGACATTCCCCCCCTGTAGATGATGTAGGGTAGGCCCCATCTCGTTGCTAGGTTATTTTGCCCTATTCAAAGTGGAAGCACATATGGTTACACGCGCACTAGTGAGTCCAAGAGCACCGCTAAGGGTTCGAACCTCGGCGCAAGCCATCGTAATTTCGATTCCCATTTAAATTGGACGGAGGATCGATCAATATATAGGGGACGGTTACCATAAGAGGACCGTCAACTTGCAATTACAGCTAAGTATTATATATACTTGAAACAATTTAATTATTAACTATATACTTTGTTTTAGGTATTATGCGTTCAAGTGAAATGTTTCGAGGAGATCATCAATATTGGATACGCCGTCTACCGGATCCATGGTCTGCCGTGGTTCCGCTCGCTCTCCTGGTATTTCCTGCTTACATCCAACTACTTCTTCTACGGCGAGAACTTGATTGACTACTTTGGTGTCGTTATCAATAGAACGGTGAGTGATGGTTTTTATTTATTAATGCAATTATACTATGTATTTTTTGTACTCACAACTTTTAAGAAGAACTACAGCTGTTAGTCACGATATCGTCTACCTTTTTGACATAAAAGATAGCCTATATACAGCCTTGTGACATCATTATCTTTGATTAAGATCCGTTAAGTTAGTTTAGTCGTAGTAATGATAACAAACAGACAGACAGACACTTTCGACTTTAATGAAATTAGTATAATTATATAATATCGCTGAACAATTCACACAGCGCCATCTAGTCCCAAGATGAGCACAGCTTGTGTTATGGGTACTAGATAATTGATAAAAACATTTAGATACATTCTTTCTGTAAATACATTCGTAATATACATAGAAAACACCTAGACCGCTATCAATAAACATACTGAAAGCGGCGTCCATCGCAAGTAAAGCGGTGTGATTAACCGTTAAACCACATAAACATTAAACCTATGTGTAAACTTACCTGTGTCTCTCCCTTTCAATTTAATCTCGGATCATAATAAGAAAAATATTGACCTCGTATACTTGTTAAAGATTTTATTAAGCAGTGCCAAGCTGTAGGCATGACTCACGAGAAAAAGTTTTTTAAGTGGAGAACGCATATTATTAATAATCCTTAAATAATCACTATTTAGCTAATCAGTCACAAATCTGACAGCTCCGAAGGATATCGCCTATTTTTATCGCTCATTGCAGTTTGCCTAGACACGGTTGTATTATGTACGCCTAATGATTAAGTAATACTTTATCGTCTCTGTATTATGTACATGAACGATGTTAAAATTAAACTGTCAATCCACTTATTAATATGGAGCCTGACTTTAATTAGTTGTTACCGCGTTTCGTGGTACAGGGTGGAGCAAGCACCCTCAGTGTTTTTTATGGATGCATAAGGGAACGGTGCTTCTGCCTGCGTTAACGGTACGCTGGTGAGGCACCAGTGGTGGATGAGTGACCATATGCTCATGTTACCATTCTTGACCTGACGGTGTATTTCCCCATCTTGATTTATCTACTAGGAATTACCACTATGGTTTTCAGGATCAATTGCGATAAAATTGACCTAACATCACTAGTTACCATTACGACTAACGCCTTTCCCTCACCTAGAATATTCGTATATATATACTATACTTAATATATATAATAATATATATGCTGCAAATCGCTTCTAGGCTTTTTGGCTAAGATCAAAGTGTAGTATACTGCACAAAATAAAATTATTGACAATTGATTCAAACTCTGTTAGAAGAGGATAAATATGATCAAATAAATGTCGTAAATTTTATGTGAAGTCGATTTAATTGCGTTAAAAGTCAACCTAAAACTATTGGATTCTAATATTTAATAGCTATTTTAGACTTTAAATTAATTGAGAGAAATGCTCTTTTTAAAAAAAAGTATTACTCATATTTTAATTTCTTAAATCTATACCTAGGATTATTAAAAAAATCTTATCAATTATTATTAACAAACAAGCTTACTTTGATAAAATAACCAATTAGTTTTAAGATTTGTATCTATTAAAATGTTTGTTTTTAATTAATAATATAATTTGTTTGTTTTTAATAATAATAAATTGTAAATCCACTTTACCTAATAGTCAAGTATAATATAAAGCCACTTCACGTAAAAATTGCCTCATGTTGGTATGATATAGCTTGGAAGCCTAGTGTTGACTGCTCGGTAACCAAACTACGACTATGGTAATGGTAGCGGCATTAAACAAAATAATACAAATCCATTAAATAACGAAATGGACTCCCGCAAAATAACACCTAATTCGATAAAATTAATATTAGCAAGAGTCAATCAATGGAAGAGATGCTGTGACGTTATTTCGATGATAAAAATCATACGATATAGATAATTACAATATAAATAATTCTGAATCATACTTCACCAATACGATATTTACTCAGAGTGATATGAATAAGAAATGTATACGTATATGTTATCGTGAAATGATTTGGATGTAAATGATTTATTATATGAGCTGCTAAATGTTGTGATTGACGTGTAACTTATATGTGGTTATTATTTTATTTTTGTATTTATCTTTAGCATACACACTTGTATACATGGGGGACTTAATGCCTGATTGCATTTTCTATCAGTCAACCGTTGCGCTGATCAGAGATAATAAGGCGGTGCAATTTAATAATAGATATAAAAATAATTATTGTTAGCGCGTGTTTAATAATATAAACTAGCAAGGCATTAGTGGAAGATTATGGAATGTTAATGAAGTCAAGTTAATTTGTACATCGTATTTTATTCGTAATTATATGTACAAAATAATTACGTATTAAATATGATAAATAAATAAAAAAGGCTTATTATAAAAAAAAGCTTGCACTTCTTGGAGGTTGACAATTTTTGTTATTATTATCCTCTCTCTAAATGACTCTTAATTTCATTAAGAAGTATGAGATATCGTAAATGATAAACATACACGTAGCCTATTGGTTTACATTTATACTAAGAACTATTTAAAAACTGATCGTTATCAATTTAAAACAACAACAAACTAATCATGATGAATCGTCATTATTTACTGATATGAGAAATAAATACTTTGATAAGTACTTAGCTAATTTTGTATGACTGCATTTTATTATAGGTATTATGATACACATTGCTTAATTTTTGTGTCTTTACATAGTATACAATGATGTCGTTTCTGCTGTCGTCTTTTATACTATGCAACAGATTTTAATGCAGTTTTAGCAGTAGAGTGATCAAGAGGAAGGTTTAATATACGTACAACACCCCTGCTAGGACGGGGCTAGTTACCAATAAAACGAATTACACCACATTTGTGTATCGCCATCTATTGATAGTGATTAAACGACACCAAAAAACAAAGCAGATGTTTTGTATAGTCCAGTATATATTATTCTAGCTACGCACCCCGGCTTCACATGGGTGTACATGCATTACACAATATAAACCTTCCTCTTGAATTCATCTATCTATTAAAAAAAGCACTTCAAAATCCGTTGCGTAGTTTTAAAGATTTAGGCATACATAGGAACAGACAACGACAGTGACTTTGTTTTATACTATGTAATGACTACGTGAAGTTGTTTTTTCGCTAAATTTAATGTTTCCCCTTTTAGGTTTTTTCCCAACGTTTAATGTAGTCTGTTGTTGTACCATGTTTAACAACATTTTGTGAAAATGTCATCCTAACTCCTCCAGCCATTTTTCCGTAAAACATTCGCACACAAAAAGATGAACACACAGTCTTCGTTTCGTCTCGTTAATATTTTACGATTTATAATTGTGTAAAAGTAATAAAGACAAAACATTAAAAATATTTTAAAATTATTATACACTATAGAATTATATCATTGATATTAAGCTTATTTCTTTACCAAGTCTCTTGTTCATTAAAAATGTCTAATCATGAACACCTTCCAGATAGAAATGTTTAATTTTATTGTCTACTAGCTGTGCCCGCGACTTCGTCTACGTGGAATAATGACTTTGTCTAGCTAGCTTTTTTTTTAAATAACATACAAAATTTGTTCTCCTAGTATTTATTCGTTAAGGATAACATTTCTACAAAATTGAATGTCATATTTATTTATATCTAAAAATTAAGTTATTAGCTCTCCTTACAACTCTTTTTTCACATTTAAAAATATCCTATGTCCTTTCTCAAGCTCTAGACTATGTCTGTACCAAATTTCATATTAAGTTCAGTTCAGTAGTTTAGGCATAATAGACTCTCCCTAATCTAATATTATAAATGAGAAAGTAACTCACTTTCTCATTTATAATATTAGAGTAGGGCTAGTAGAATGTAAATAAATAATTATTTCCTGTAATTAACGTGTATCATTGTAATTTCATTAAAACCATAGATTATAGATAGGTGAACTTGTATAAAAAATATACTGAGATTTGTTTTACTTAGGTATTTAAAAACTTAATGGTATCAGCTAATAAATGATAGCAAGAATTACAATCTAGGGCAAATAAAAGTTACAATCAGCAACTAAAAAATACGTGTGATATAGATCTCAAGTTTAGGGTTCCGTATTGTCTTTATATAGTAATTGGCTCGAAAAAAATATTTTCTACCAGTATCTTATAGTTATTCGATTAGTTTCATCTACCTATATTTATAACTAGCTGTGTCCGCGGTTTCACCCGCGTCAAATTTCAATATAAAATATAGCCTATGTGTTATTCTGATGCATAAGCTATGTTACTGTAAAGTTTCATCAAAATCCGTTCCGTAGTTTTTGCGTGAAAGAGTAACAAACATGCAACTCACGAACTTTCGCGTTTATAATATTAACACGATATAAACCATCCTCTTGAAACACTCTATCTATTACTAAAACTGCATTAAAATCCAGTTTATAAAATTTAAGTCTCGCTTACAGCGGAAGCTATTTCATTTTGAACTATACTAGCTAGTCGCCCCGGCTTCGCACGGGTGTACATGTATTATATATTCTGTTCCTAAACCTTCCTCTTGAATCACTCTATATATTAAAAATATCGCTTCAAAATCCGTTGCGTAGTTTTAAAGATTTAAGCATACATAGGGACGGACAGACAGCAACAGCGACTTTGTTTTATACTAGCGATATTCTATACGGTATCGTTTTTAAGGTTTACCTACAGAACCCTATAATAAGATAAGATTTATCATATCAAACGCTCGTAATTACATGATAATTGTTATTGTTTAATTATCGTTCGATGCTCCATCATAGTGATAGTATCTTCTTTGATGTGACGGTTCTGTTGACGTCACACCGTGAATGACATCTGTACTGAGGCTTAATTGAATGAAATTGTACTAACGCTATTTAATAAAATACTTAAGGCTGATTAGATATGTAAGTAGTAGTAATAATGATTCGATATAAATATATATACGTTGCGACTTTGATATTTGTGAATTTCTGTACACCTAATATATTTTTGTAGTCATACTAAATTGATCACGTGACGCACCATCATACTTTGTATGACGTTTTTATTACTTTTTTCGACCTTTGTTTTTTAATAAAATTGTTATCATTATCTGGAATCTATCACCCCATCTGGAATGTGGTGGCATTTATGATAGCAGTCATTTTATTCCAGTTCTTGGTGCTAGTAAATGGTTCAGATTTTATGAGGATTTTATCTGGCTTTGAAACTAAAAAAAAATCCAAATGTTAATAGCTTAAGTAAGCTATTAAAATATAGATTTTCTTCAGTTTTTCTTAGGTAGGTAGAATTTGTTTTTATTTACATTATACAGTAAAAGATGCATTGTAAGGTAATCCATATAATTCTGGAACTTATGCGTGACATAACAATAAAGGAATACATTAGTACAATAATATTACGAAGAAGGAAATAATATTAATGGTATAGTAAGAAATTAATTTATGGCTAGAAAAAATCACGAATAAATAAATAGAGGTATAGTAAAAAATCTCTTGGACACATATAATAATCTCAGGACTTTAAATAGCGTCATCTAATCCCAGGTTAAGCTAACTAGCTTGTGTTATGGGTACCAAATAGCTGATACAAATATATATATATTTTTTACTAAATACGTACATATTATAAATAGAAAATACCCAGATCAATACAAACAATCATACTCATGAATACAAATCTTTGTGCGTGCGAAGAATCGAACCCGCGGTCATCGGAAGTAAGGCGGTGTGCTGAACCTCTATACCACCGAGGCCGTTAAACTCTTACTAGCTGCTCTCGCGGTTTCATCCGCGTATGATATCCTGATGTATAAGCTATATTACTGTAAAATTTAATCAAAATCCGTTCCATAGTTTTTGCGTGAAATAGTAACAAACATCCATCCATCCTCATAAACTTTTGCGTTTATAATATTATTAAGATATCTTATTTTATATATAACATTCTCGTGTCACAGTTTTCGTTTCCATAGTCCTCCGAAACGGCTTGACCGATTCTCATGAAATTTTGTGAGCGTATTGAGTAGGTCTGAGAATCGGCCAACATCTATTTTTCATCCCCCTAAATGTTAGGGGTAGTCCACCCATAATTTTTTTTTTATTTTAAGGCAAAACAACGTTTGCCGGGACTGCTAGTATATATATATAGCTTAAACATTATGTACTTGTGTTTACTGTGTACATACATTTAATCTGTCTATCTTTATTATTGCATTTGATTACACCACTCCACTACTACCAATCAACAGCGCATCATTAAAATGTAAGCGAATGTTACATTACATCCTATACCGGGTTTAGTAACAATATTAATGCGCGAACGTGTTGCAATAGGAACATGTCAGGTCAATAAAGTAATTATATGTATCATTGTTCCATTGTCGCTGTAGCGTCACTACTAACCATCCAGAATATCATTTGTAGATGTACGTATGATCTTAATAATATGATAAACGCGAAAGTTTGTGAGCATGGTTGTTTGTTACTCTTTCACGCAAAAAGGACTGAACAGAATGTGATGAAACTTTACTGTAATGTAGCTTATGCATCAGAATAACATAGGCTATATTTTTTATTGAAATTGAATGCGGGTAAAACTGCGAGCACAACTAGTATATAATAGACTAACTGACCTGTGCTACTTCGTCTATGTTTTTTTTTTCAATATTTTTCATTTTAGCTATGCTGCTATTATAGCTATTGGTCGTACCGTGACGTTATATATATCTAAAGCCTTCCTCTATAAATGGGATATTCTACCCTAATGGCATTTTCACCCTGAATATCCAGACACACAAACCTTACCTCGTTGTAATAGTATATACATTTACATAAGTATACAATAATACATATATAGATTATTTCGTAGTCCTACTACGAAATATTCTGTATATATATATGTGAATAGGATAGAGAGATAATGAATAAATTCTAAAGTGTGACTTGTTTGTCTGCTCGTTGCTATTTTACCGCTGTATGGATCTTAATGAAATTTGGTATGAATATAGATTGTAACACGGGGACCAAAATGTCACAGTTTTATAAAAATCAGCTGTCTGTAAAATCGACGATAGATGTTCCGAGAGAGTCACTAATGTATACTTTATCGAACTAAGTGTTATTATGCGAAAGTCCATTTCATTACCTAATGGATTTATATTATTTTGTTTAAATTCAGTACCTTTAACATTAAGACCACAAATATTCAGTGTGGAAACCTGATCATCGCTTCTGAAAGCGTCAATTGTAATACCTAGTTAACTATGTGTCTTTTTACAGGACTACCTCCGTTTTCTGGTGACATACCATCGCTTCATATCGTTCTGCCTGTACTGCGTCGGGTTCGTCTGGTTTGTCCTGTCCCTCGTGAAGAGATACTACATGCGACAGTTCAGTCTGTTCGCGTGGACTCACGTGGCTCTGTTGATCGTCGTCACCCAGAGCTATCTCATCATCCAGAACATATTCGAAGGTAAGTGACGCTGAATAAAAGAATCGTAATCAGGAATAATTAATTCAGTACGCTTTAGACCTCATGAAAACTAATAATTAATCTCAGAACGACTCACACAGCGCTATCTAGTCGTAAGCTAAGAAGACAATCGCTATAAATATATAGATATTTTTTTTTTGTAATTACGTACACAATTAATATAGAAAACACTCATACCGATACAAACATTCTTATTCATGAATATTTCTATCGTGTGAGAAGTCGAACCAGCGACCATCGGAAGTAATCCTATTAGAAATAAAGTGTTCCAAACCGTTAGGCCACCAAGGCCGTCATGGTGACGGATTAGGGATATTGTGGTTTCACAAAACAAATTAGAAATAATAACAATATAAATGGACCATTTGTAAATCGCTCGAATTTGTAATCGTTTGTCAATTTTTTTTTATTTTACTGAAATGATAAGTTGATTATTATGGTGGTAAGTGGTAAATGGTTATCATTGCGTATAACGAATATACATGAAGAGCGCTATGTAGATCTCATCATCATATAACGCCCCAATTAAATCTGTAATTTTACATATCGCACCCTCTTAACTGAAAAACAGCTTTACGGTTGGTTGGGATGGGTGAGACGGACGAAGTAGACGATTTTTTGTATTATCTACCGTAGTATTTCATGGTTTTTGAAATTTAATATATTCCAATTTCTAACTGAAGCTATTTATATGTTGACAAAATAACATTGAATAAAATTATCATGATTTGAAATAATAATAGCCTTAATTGTAAGACTTAAGTCTTTTGTTTAATACATACAAAATGGACACTCACTATATTCCACTTAATTGTTAACAACAACTTATTGTTAACAATAATATGAATGATGATGAATTAAATTATTATCATTTGAAATAACGACCATGGCATTATTTATAGGGCTTAAGTCTTTAATTAATTTTTTTTTCTTTGCAATTTAGGGCCTTTGTACAAACTAAAAGTATATGTCAGTTCCATTGTACCTTTACGCTAAACTATCTTAGCCGCACTATATGAAGCATCAGCTAAAACGCTTTGTATGACACCAACATCCAATATATTTAATATACCTATATAGAAATTCCCTCCATATATGTACATACAAAGTAGATACAATGTTATAGACCCCTGACAAGTCTGACAATACTTATCAGTACATTCTCGCCGGCCGTATTTGTGTCACAACTACATTGTCATGGGCGAGAAGCCCTTCAAAGCGGTTTCTAACTAGGGCAATATAAATATAACGGGATTTAAGTAACAAGAGAGTGCGAGATTGTAAATGAAATAATTTAATAAACTGACTGACTAAGTGGCTGACTACGTCTGGTTCATATATGAGATTGAGAGAGAAATGGAGGATTGAGAGTAGGGTAACATTTTGAGGTGTGCATACAGCTTTCCTCGAAAAATTAACCTAACAGTAACAATCTTTCTGTATCATCCGGTAGTTTGAGAAATCGAAAAAAGAAAAATTACAAATGTATTATCTAGTCTTTGTCGAAGTTGTAAATATTCTTAGTTATTGTAAATGTAAAAATGAAGTTTGTTTATGTATGGTTGGGACCTTAATGTCCCGGTCACGCACATAATGTCCGTATGAAGTTAATCCGTATGAACATATGAAGTTAATCATCTGTAAATCGGATACAATGCCAATTGATATCTTTTTACTTCTCAAACTTTCCATACCTAAACGATGTCATTAAAACTCAGTCCATATTAAATCTAATTTGTGCTCAATTATATTGTGTTAATTATAATAATAGAAAATATTTATAAAGTAAATATCGCTTATCGCCTATACATGGTCCACATCCTGTTTCTACCCTCTTTGTTACGTAGTGAAGCCGACAGAAATAGATTACACATGTTTGTATGTGGCGAAACAGCTGGAAATGTTGCGATCTACTTCCGATGTACTTCATATATGACGGACAACCTTATAACTTGTGTACTGATACAATTTATAGTTGTTTTTTTAATGGATGATAATAGAAAGGTGTCCCGCCTGCACTATCTTTATACGCTTTCATGGCACCAGTGGAGAATAATAAGATGAGCATGAAGGTAGGTCAGTTAGGTCGTCGTGAAAATTTCGCCAAGGGTTAATCACGATGGTTTCCAGGAGGGACCGAGTAGATGTCGACCTGACATGACATTGCTAGCAATTCGTTAACTTTGAAGCTATTTATTATAATAAAGTGCAATTTATAATAATTGAGAGATCTACCAGCAAAATCTCTCTGCAATATTCTAAAACATCTTGGCCTGTCAAGAACTGCAATAAGTTTTATACTAGAACGTGTACATAAAGCAGCAATAGCAGGCTGCTTCCAGATTTAGTAGGGCGGCAGGAATAGAACCACGAGCGGTGAAGGTGAGTGTTGACGTAAGTCAGCAAAAGGCTCCCTTAAACATACACCCGGGTCCCACGTCCGGGGTAAGTACTGCTCGGTGTTTCCCTCTTTGCTGCTCAGTGGATCCGGCTCCCGTACGGTGAATCGAAGGAATGTTAAGAAGTTCGTCTTTTATTAAAATATACTAATTTAAGATGTAAATTTGATCTCTTTAATGTATTTGATAACGTAATCTCTTTTGCGTACTTGTGTTGAATTGGTGACTGTGCAAATTCGGAAATATTTTCCCACGCAATTGATTTAACACTGATAAAAGATTAGATAAGTTAATGGCACTAGAAATGTCAATATTGATTGTAGATAAAACTCTTAATAAAACAAAAACACTATAGGAACTGTTCTTCAGGGTTAGGTACTATTTTTATTTTAAAATAATTATTTACTATTTTTTACCCTATTTAAAATCATATTCATTTAATTACATGGGTGCTTTATGAATTTTCATATACATTAGTGTCTTAACTCTACTACCCAATTTAAGTGAAAGAGCTAGCTTGAAAATCAACTGGTATATTCACTATGAAACACCCGTATTTGAACAATTAGCGAGATGGACATTTATCTTTCAATTATATCATTGTAAACTTTATTTCACATATCTATTATTACATATATGTACATTAAGTACTGTGTCATTGTTATCCGCGAGTATATGTGATTCATTTTTAGATAAAATACGGCCGTCGTTCTTTCTCATGATCTAATCTACTTGATGTCAAATTTCATCAAATATCTGTTTAGTTATAGAAAGTTAACAAACAGAGAGACTTTCGCATTTATATTGTTAATATAGATTCGTAGTAAGTATTTTATATGTCTGAGTATAATAAATAACAATATTTAAAACAAAATATTAACCATTTGCATTTTCTCTAGTATGCTTGAAGTAGAAACTATTGTATATTCTAAACTAAAACAATGTGTAAACTAAAACATTAACATAATAGCATTCGGATCCGGTGAGCGTTCAAACACAGTTGCAAAATTCATTATTGCTAAGTACTGTGATCTAACGAAATCATTGCATATTGCAAACATATTTAATATTTATGTGAGCATTATGTATATCATTGTTGTAAAATTACATAGAAAACCATCGCAAACTGTTTACAAACAAATTTATATTGTATTTTTTACATTGCACTGAATAAAATATATTTCTTTCTTTCAAACTGTTTGTTTTTGCGTGGATTGATCTTGGGACCATCGGGAGTTTTGTCGATAATATTATATGATCGCTACACATTACATTTTTGCTGGATGATAATGGAATGTTTTTTAATTGATAATAATGGAATAGTGCACTCTCCTGCACCAGGGGAGAATAATAGGGTGAAGGTGATATTTAAAATATAATGGATACGTATAATCTTCATTGAAAAAAAGTTTATGTAAAGTGTTTATAATTCTATTCATCTTATTCACAATGCAAGTTTAGCTGAGAAAATTAATTGTAGTTTTATTCAAAATAATAAAGATATTTGTTGTTATATTGTTGCTTTCAGATTTTCTTTTCTTAGTAGTACAAACTATGTAGCCACAAAATATTAAGATATTTTTTTCTTTAAAGTTTTCCGTTTATGGGTTTTCTATCTATTGATACGCATACGTTTATTAGTATTGGCAGGAGTGAAATAGGCACTTACGAGTTGTGGGTAGTATGTTTTTAAAAAATAATATATTAAATATCGTACCCTTTTAAGGTTGTACTAAGATAATGTTAGAACAGGTTTTATGAAACCAACAATCATTAAATTGTACTAAATCAACATGTCCGGCACTACAATAATAGGTAAACCAATTAAGCTATCGTTTTACGTGAAAATTGGTTTATTTACCAATTAGGTCGGCTCTTTCATAGCCTTCGTTACATAGTAGGTATTTAGGACATACCCGTGGGGCGTGGAGCATGCGAACCGGCGGAGAGTGCACAGTTTTGCGTAAACAAAAGAATATTTTTAGCAGCGTTTGATCTTTATCCAGCCAGCTACAGCTGGAATGTAATATTAAAATAATATTACAAACAACAATGGCGTAATCTTATTTCTCTAATCTAATATTTGGTATTCTATCAACGTAATAGTACCCAAAATAATGACTTTTGGAATTTTTATCTGCTTTTGTGCGTGCTATTCTCAAACGGCCTAATCGAGTTGGATGCGCTTTGCACAAATGTATTGTGGCAATCTTCACTTAACATTTTGGAGTTGCTTTTATTGTCCATCGAGTTATAAATAATAAAATACACTGGAATTTGCGGGAATCAGCTGATTATTGTCGTGTAAAAATAATTAACTGTCATTGTTTTTTATTGTCATCCTCACTGTCAAACGATTTTATAAAAAAAGTTGCTTATTGAATATAAGGGTACTAAAATATAGTTTGTATAAAATATAGTGTATGTAATAATGTGATTGTTTACATCAAAAACATGATTTCTATGTGAAATCTTCTTGTAATCCGTAATTCTTGTTAATAATAATAGAATAAGTAATTGCGTACTAAAAATAATACAATAGATACTATAATACACATAGTATGAATGTATGTATGTAATATATGACGCAGTATTACTGTGCTGAACAAAAGATGGCCTTATCTATACAAGCAATCTCCTACAGATAACCTGGATGACAATAATATTAACCCACTATTGACTATCTATCCCGTTGCTAAACGGCATGGATAGGGACTTCATTCCGAGGTTTTCATACTTTTTTTCCTCTTGCACGAAGTGAAATAAAAATAATTTTATTCCTAAAGTGAAAGCATTAAATATGAGAAATTTATCCGTCTCTTATAGAGGAAGGGAATTGTTAGTACTGGGGTCTGAGAGCCCCAATGTAGGCTGCTAGTCCGTCATACTCGTCAACTGCAGGCAACTCGTGCTGCTTGTGGGAACTGGTCTGTTCCGGTTACGGCTACTGATTAAATTACATATTTCGTTTAGACAAAAATTAATAGCATAGTGATCACTACATTATTACTAATTGAATTTAAAATTGTATCTATTTTTGTGTTTGTGTACAAGCATATTTGAAAAGAATACGAACAAAGTTGTCAGTTCTTCATAGCTCGAAAGCACTCCGAACTGTCGTTATATTTCACATATTATAAGAATCTGTATGTATGTATATGTATATATGTGAATAAAGATATTTTGATTTGATTAAATGCTAGCAGTGTACCATGACAACATGGAAACTATCATAATTAATTCCTGGCATATTTCCTCACTATGGACTTATTTACCTGACTTTATCCTCATGCTATCATTCTCCAATGGATTCCCGTAAAAGTATACTATATAAGTGTATGTACTATGTATGTATGATGTATGTATCTTTCTGGTATTATCCATAAACGATATTTAGGATATGAATACAAGTCATTTTTGTCCAATTATATGCATTACTTACTTTCTTTCGCATACACTCAAGTTGTGAACTGAAATCTGCAGAGGTTTACTCGCGAGACTACAGCATGAGGTTTTTCAAAAAGGGTATATTAAGGTTTCTCAAGTGTCGCCAACGCGTACGTGACACCCCTGGTGTTTCAGGCGTCCATAGGCTACGGTAACCGTTTACCAGCAGATGGGCCACATGCTTGTTTGCCACCATCGTAGTATAAAAAGAAAGATTTTTCCACAATTGCAATCCATAAATATAATGTAAAATCTAACTTTAGCTTAGTTAGACTAGCGATTTTATTTATTACTGAAAGTTTATTTATTATGCTAATTTACGCATGTACTTAGACAGTGTCGGTATAGGTATGGTTACGCAACGTATTTGAATTTCAAAATATTTCATGTAACATGTATTTTTCATTGTATGCTAAACAAATAGGCAGTTTCAACGTATAAACAACACTTACAAAAAATTACAATAGTTGATGATGAAGTGTTTGAGTGATATTATGTGTAATAAACACAGATTAGCCGGCCATAGGAACCAGTTAGCTTGAAAGCTACTGGATACAAATAAATGTCCATCTAGGCTAAAAAGGGCTCGCCTAGTCAGCTCTGAAAAAAATAAATAAGATGCCACTATATGTACCTTATCTCCAGATAGAAAATAATAAATAAAAGAAATATGTGAATTATATTTATTATTTAATTGCTACTTCTAAATTGCTCGTAAAATAAACAATATTATATAGACTTTTCTTAAAATCTTATTAGGTTCTATTTTTATACTTTTTAACTGTAAAAAAAGATGTTCTCAATTGGCCTATATGTATGTTCTCTAATTTATTCCAGTGGACCGATTATGAAGTTTATTTTCTTAATTTTAAAGCTGGTTTATCTGATGTGGTCCCATAGTTTGATTAAGAACAAAACAGCCGTTTTTGCGTTGACTTTAAAATGCGTTTTTATATTATAACTTACAGATTTAGGTTAACGAATGATTTGAATATAATAATAATAATAATACCCATGAAAATTCACACAACTTCACCTAGTCCCAAGGTAAATAGAGGAAATAGTGTTATGGATACTAGACAACTCATAGATATTTGTATATAACTATAAATATTTTTTTTGTAAATACATATATAATGTACTTACATAGAAAATACCCAGACCGATACAAACAATCATACTAACGAATACAAATGTTAGTACGGTGCGTGGAATCGAACCCGCGACCATCGGAAGTAAGGCGGTCTGCTAAACCGCTAGACCGTCGATGCAATATGCTTATAATTATTACAAACATATAGTATATCGATTACAATGTAATAAAAATACACACACAATACTAATACTATTTGAGTTTGTGTAAGACTTAGCTTAGACCGCATCCTCACTTAACATCAGGTAAGATTGCGGTCAAACGCACTTAAATTTACAAATGAAATAATGAAATAAAAAAAAATACAATATAATAAATAGAAATGCACCTGAAATCCAGAATGTTAGAATCTTGCAACGAGAGAGAAACAGCATCTCATTAATGTCATGGACGACTATTATCTTAATGGCGTTAATTTAATATTGCATTCAAGTCGAGAGACAATGTTGATGTCTTATTTAATACTGAATAATAATACATTGATAATTGTTAGAAAATTGCTTTATTATATAGCAATTAACACCAACGTAATGCAATGTTGTTAATTAAGTAATAAAATTTACGAGGTAATATAATAAACGAGGCCTTATTTTTCAATAACGCCTCGTTTATTATATTACCTCGGTTAAATAAGGTAGTGCAGTTACAGGATAAGTCATCTTATTTTTTATAGAACAGATTTTTTTTTAACATACAGTAAAGAAAAGACGTTATATTTAAAGACAATATATTAAAAACAAATCCTAAAAGTTATATTTTCAAGGCAACCTTAGGGAAACGGATTTAAATATCGAATAGGTAGATAACATGCAAACAGGAGGAAAGTAAAAGAATAACAGACATAATTTATAAATTTAAATCAATTATCTATCTAAAATGAGTAGTATTTTTTTTTTGTGTATGATAATGGATTGGTTCACCCGCCTGCGCTAACGGTTTACGCTGGCGGGGCACCAGTAGAGGATGATAAAATGAGCATGAGGTCAGCATCAGGTCAGTTAGTCCATCGTGACAAATTTATCAGGAATTTAACACGATGGTTTCCAGGAGGAACCGCGTGGAGGTCGACCTGACATGGTACATTGCTAGCAATGGGGTTATCAATCCACATTACTAACAAGCCCCTTCCCCCCAATGAGTAGTATTAAGGGCTATATCATGACAACCATGACGTCAGTGGTGCTGTGAATTAACGCGGAAGTTTAAAAATAGAAGCATTAAATTTTGTATAAATCTTTTCAGGTTTAATTTGGTTCATCGTGCCAGTCTCCATGATAATTTGTAACGATGTTATGGCCTACGTGTTTGGTTTCTTCTTCGGAAAAACTCCACTGATCAAGCTGAGCCCTAAGAAGACCTGGGAGGGTTTCATTGGAGGCGGCTTCTCTACTGTTGTATTTGGTCTTGTTGTAAGTATAAAACAACCATATGATCATATTGTGGTCGTTTATTTTTTTATTATAATATTTTATCGTTAAAGGCTATAACAGATTAGTAAAGAGGGTGGACTGTTAGTTAGACAAAACGGTCTACAAATCAGAGCATTGATTGTATTGATTGTAGACCCCCTCTGATTTGTAGACCGTTTTTGTCTTGATTAATACCTCTTAATTTTATTAAAAGTAGCTAACTGCTGCACAGTTCATTTAGAGACAAATAAAGATGATGATAATTATTATTATTATGATCTATCAGATTAATTGCCAGAGGTAGACTGTAAAAAGTCGTCTGCATGAATATCTCAGTCTCACCTAATCGAGCCGCCAAGCAGCTTGCTTTATAAGCTGTGTTTTACTTATAGGGTGCAGATTAGGCAGTACAATTACGGGATAAAGGGCATGATATCTTCAGTCCTCTGAAATGGTAATGCATGAGTCGAGTAGTGTCATATGATAACGTGATGTTTATAGGCAGGTCGTTACCTTATCCAATTTCATAAAAAAAAAAATTATATAAATGAAATGGATAGTTTGATACATGTACGTGAAACGTTGCGTAAAAGAGAAACATAAATGTGTGCGAGAAACAGAGAAAGTAAGCAGAAAGAATAAAAGAAGGAAATAAAAAGAAAAATAATACAATAAGACGGTGAGATAAATGGAAGATTTATAGACAGAAGAAAAAGCGTAGGAGCAAATAAATTCCATATACATATTTCGTGAATTATAATTTCCAGTTGTCCTACCTGATGTCACAATATCCGTACCTGGTGTGCCCTATCGAGTATTCGGAGTCCCTCGGCCGCATGACCATGGACTGCGAGCCCTCGCTGCTGTTCCGTCTCCAGGAGTACACGCCGCCGCAGTTCCTGCAGCCCGTGGTGAAAGTCGTGAGTTTAAATTCAAATTTTTTGTAACATTCAATTACATAATACATAACATTACATTCAATAAAATGACAGTTGACAACAGCATTTACATGTACGCTTTTTCACGCACGAATTGGCTTTCACGTTGAAAAGAATGTGCAGGTAAATGTAGACAAAGATAATGACGAAATCCGCGCGTGCCGCTAAATTGCGCACCCCGCTTTGTTCAATTGTGCGTGCCTTAGCGCTTTTTTATACTAATTATTTTTTATTGCAAAATGGTGGATGACTATAGATCAAAGAGATAATTATAGAGTTATTGATAATCTATAAATCTTAAACGAGTTTTAGCTAGCTAAATCACTAGACCACCGAGGACATCAATGCCACTGACTACCGTCTCTACGTATGTTTGTTTTTGTTTAATATCTAAATGTTTGCTTGCAGTTCGGCTTGGAGAAACTGACCATGTACCCGTTCATGATCCACTCGCTCGCCCTCAGCATCTTCAGCTCTGTTATTGGACCATTTGGCGGCTTCTTTGCATCTGGATTCAAGCGGGCTTTTAAGATCAAGGTGAGTTGAGTGTCAGTACGTTACTTAGTAGTAATAGTAGTAGTTAATATCGATAATGGGCCTTCCATGAATTATGTCATACGGATTTACTGACTTTGACCCTGTCCCCGTCCTTGTCACTCACAGTTAGTCACATTAGTGTATTTCTTCCTCCGTGTGTCACATATTTTGAAATATTAACTGTTTTCGTTAATAATACAAATTTAGTGTTTTAATACTATACGTATTAAAACTTTAATTATTAGATTTTAAAATATGACCCAGTTCACACGTTTGTCACATTTTGTCGACTTTCTCCCCTCACTGTTCCTTAAATAGAATGGTAAAGTAGTTACATGTTACTACTCTAACTTACACTGGTTATTATGAATACATATAGAAAACACGATATGTATTATGTAACGTTACATAAGTCATTTTATCATTGTAGCGTTTAGTATATATGATTACTGATCTATTTTGTTCGTTGCAGGACTTTGGCGACGTGATTCCTGGTCATGGCGGTATTATGGATCGTTTCGACTGTCAATTCCTGATGGCCACATTCGTCAACGTGTACATCACCAGTTTCATAAGAACCGCCACGCCCCAAAAACTACTACAGCAGGTAGAATTTGGAAACTATTTAGAACTTATGTGTTACAGAGGCATTACATACCACACACATAGAAACCATTAGCCTATTTATATAATTATCATGAATTTTATTTTCTTTTATTATCTGTACGTATGCTATCTCATGTGTGGTGGCCACTGAAAATCAGCGCAGTGATATAATTCAATTATACTACAGTATAAATACTGAGTGGAAGTCACAATAAGCGTTACCATTATATGTTTTAGTTTTATGTTACATAGGAAACATTGTTGTAAATATGAATGTTGAATAATGTTAAATAATGTCTTTATTATTATTATAAAATCCCAGAGGATATAGGTGTTTCATCGTCTAGATCAAATGTATACTTTATAAAAGTTGTATAGTGTATGAACGAATATAACTTACATCTAGTCCTAAGCAGAGAATCGTTATGGATACTGAACAACATAGATAAAGCTTTAATACACTTTTTTAAATAAGTACATAGAACATATCCAGGCTAATACAAACAATCATACTCATGAATACAAATATTTTTATCGCGCGAGGAATCGAAACCGCGTCTGTCTGAAGTAAAACTGTTTGCTGAACCGTTGGACAACCGAGGTCGAGGGGCATAATCACTCCTAGTTTTTAGTCAAATTATACACAGTTATGTGGTGCCATATTAATTTATCATTTTCCGTTACAGGTCTACAATCTGAAACCAGAACAACAGTTGCAGCTATTCTACGCCCTTAAGGAATCTCTGGAGAACAGGAATATCCTCAACATGGTACCTTAGACGCGACACCCGAACACATAGTAAGTGAACTACTCGTAAACAATCGACTACATAAATTGTGTGAGTTCACACTTGACTGATAAACCGCAGCGACGAATGATTTCCTTATGCGGTCAGTGCCAAGTATATAGAACCTCTCTTTTGTAAATCCAGTTGTATTTTTAGATAGATTTGACCATTAGTGGACTATTTATGGGCGTTATTACCTGAATTAAGGACGATAGAAGGGTATTTAATTATGCACTTTAGTTAATATATATAAATACAAAATACAGGGTGTTTATTGGAATTGAGGATTGGTGTACTTGCCAGTCAGAGTTTTTGGCCCGGCTTAGTTCGCTACTGGTGTTGCCAACGTCGTATAAAATTTACAATATTATACATGATCTCTGATTTTTTTATGTTTTATATAAATTGATGTAACGCCGAGTGGGAATGTGGTATTGTGGATAGCGTTTTGTCCGTCAAGTGTGGCGGTATTCTAACGTATTATATTTATAACATATCTCTTGTGCAATACTCGAGAATAAATGCACATATATATTTAACATTTTAAACATAGTTATTTATGTCACATAATAAATTTATAATTCTAAAAACACATTTTTATTAGAAATTACCGACTATTCGTATTATTATTTTGACAGTTATCAACTTTGTAATAATTACTTTGATTTATTTGTAACTTATATGTATTACGCTGGTCATTTCTGTGTTGCCCTAGCTAAAAATTAGTACTACATAGTATTAAAGTTGTTTATGTTAAATTGCCGTAGTTATATAAGAAATTCCATGTTATTGTGCAATGTTCTCGAGTATTGCATATAAAATCAAATAATAAGATGTTCTAGTCTCATTTATGTAAAATCATTTGCCTTGATATATTATTAATATTGTGCAACGTCCCATTATGAAATATTTTACATGTACCTCCTAGTTATTGTTATAATAGAACATAAAACTCAAGCCCACCAAAGAACTAAATCAAGGCAAATGATATGTACTGATATAGATAATATGCTTTATTATCCCATGAAACTATCGAAATATGAAGTAATTAGGATTACAATATAGATTATAAACGTATTATAATAGAAAATTTACTATTAATAAGCTTATTGCACGGAAAGTGGAGGCTGAAGATGAACTGTCCGTGTGTATGCTTTGAGGCGCCTATTACACGATGCATTTTGCCATGAGCGTTACTAAAGTTTGGAAAATGGTTGGTAATTGACAGAAATTGTGCTGTATTATCATACATAACGAAATTAAAGCTAATAACATTAATATCAGAGTTCATTTTTAAGTATCAACTAAATAAAACATACATTCTGTTCTTGCCAAAGCATGTATTCTCGGCTATAAATCGTGTATGTGGCGCCTTACATTTATGTTATCTTAAAAATAATGTCCTATTAAAAATGTGTTAGATGTATAATAAAACAATTTAAATGTATAAAAAGTACAGCATACAATTAAAATATTTACGAACTTCTTGTCTCATCCTTAGAAAAGTAAAGTTTTAAACTTAAGTTTTGCAATTTTCTTTCAAATTACGAATAGCAACTCGGAAGAAAGAGACGAAGCATTGCAATAAATAACTAAAATGGGTTTAATGGAAGATTCGAAAATTATAAAAAAGTCCTTAGTGGTTGCTGTGACAAAATGGATGCAGAATTAATACTATGTTTTTAATTATATTTGAAATTTAAGTTGCAATGCGTTTATTTTTATTTTCAAATATTTCAATACAATTGAAATTGAATCGAATTTTATACGTTCATAAAGGTTTTATTGAGTTCTGGTTGCAAAAGATTAATTATATATCGTTGTAGCAATCTATTCTTATTAAAACAGTTTGACATTTATGCGTATTTATATAATACATAATAGAATAAGAATCAGGCTATTCAGTGATTACGTAGTAATACATTTACTTTATTGCAAGACATTTTACAATATAAATAATGTGTTAGAAATAACAAAACAACATGCTGTAATTTTTATCAACGCTTGGTTTGGTTGTATAGCATTATAATAATTCGGTTATTATATTATAATAGATATATAATAACCGAACTAGATACTCATAGATTGGTTTATATGGTGATAGGATACTGCGAGATGATAATAATTATTTACATACACAAATTAAAACAATTAACAATATAATTTATCAGGTCTCAACGCGAATAATTCATTGTTAACCATTATTTACCACACTCGTTTAGGCTAAGTTGCACTAGCATTGTTGTAGCTATATATGCATAATGTCTTAAAGATTTTCCATACGTCACAACTGTCTAATCATACGTGTAAAATCCCGATGGACTATAATATATATACATATACTAAATTGATCACGTGACTTGTGCGTTTTGTTACTGCAGATGTTTCGGTTGGCTTGGAAGTATAGCATGCATTTAGCATGGTCTAAAGATTTATGTCCGCAAAATGTTACAAAGAGAGATCCCGTGTCGAATGTAAAATATATATATATATATATATATAATATAGTTGTACTATTTATACTGCTGTAATATTTTACCGAGATCTTTCATTTAGTTGTACATATTTGTTAAGTTTGGTGATGATATATTGTGATTTTAAGTTGTGTTATATCTCAAGTTAAGTTTTTGCTTTGCGTTTAGTTTTCTCTCGTTCGCTAGTTACGTTTATTTTGTATGTTTGTTTTATTTAATTGAACTTTAATAATATGTTTAGAATATGCTATAATACATTATCTGCTTACGTTATTATATATAGTATAAAGTTATTTTATAGTTAGATATAAATTTAGATTTAGGCTATAATTTGTTCTAAATCTAAAATTCTATTAGCCTTTTATGCAACAGATTGGTAAGATGTATTGATTTTTATTGGTCTTAACCATTTGATTACATCAAAATTTTAGAACTCTCTTTTTTTTTAAATATATTCTGTTTGTATTCAAATTACTATGACTCTTGTTTTGGATAAGAACGTAACAAAGCTAAACAAATATGTTCTTCATGAAAGGCAAACTGTAATAATCTATTTTTAACATTTCCATTCCTCTCTCTTAATTGTTAATTTTAAAATTCTTATCAAAATTAAAGGAACTTCCTCTAAGTTTCTTTAATAATTGAACAGGAAAAAATAAGCTGAAATAAATAAATAAATATAATTTATTATATTTATTATATAATGCTTATGACTTTTTAAATAATTGATAAGCAAGTCACATCTCATCAAACTGTTGTATAAATAGTAATGAAAGTGGTTCATTGTATAACTGAAATTGAGTTTTCTTTATTCTCAAAAATAAAGAATGTTTAAAATGACATTGGAGTACCTCGTAAAATCTTAAAGAGCCATATTTGATGTAATGACTTTTTTTACAGCTACAATTCTATAGTGTTGAATACAATTACGGGTATAGGGTTTTTAGCACCCAGTAATAGTCCAAATCCTTAAATAAAACACGTTAAAATTCAATAAAATTATTTGTAAATATATTATTTATTGACCGATCATATTACTAAACTCCAGTGCCCATTTCAAGCGCCTTCCTATTGACGAGACTTATTTTTAATAAATTTATCTATTAATTTAATTCGTTAGTTACTTTAGGGAGATACTATACTATCATAATTATATACAAGATGGTAATAAAAGTATATAAATAATCTAGGACTATGCACTATTTCTTGAGCTAAATACGGTTAAACTGTCAATAAAAGCTAACGTGTGCTAATAAGCTAAAATGTTAGCTAGTGCCCTTGTGTTTCGACTTAGACATGTATTCATTTTACTTAGTGTTACATAATACAAGCTTAAGATATGAGGTTTTTTATTATGTATTTTAAAAATATATATAATTATGAATGTATAGTATTATCACAATACTGTAATAACCCCTTTAGTTATGAATTTTCGGTATATTTTATTGTATTATGTGTATTTGCCGTTTATTTATTTTTTTATATTTTTTCTCAGTTACAATACAATAATAATTATGAATGGGATTAGAAATTGATGTAAATAAATAGTATATTTGGTATGAACAATATTCAAATAGATACTGGTTGATTAGTCGGCCGTAAATTTCGCAGTAAAGCGTTGTAATCTGTCATCTGACAAATATAGCATATCCTAAAGTATTGCACCCTCATTAATAGTATGTATTAATTCAAAAATTATAAATTTTGGAAAGTCGACTATAAAGTACGTAACTTTAAAGTTGATTTCACGTTATTTATTAATTTTGAGTTAGTACAGTTTGTTATTTCGATGTGGTCGTATCACAAGTTCGTAATATTTCGTGATGTATAGCGGCGTTTATTAAAGTAATAGGTAACTGCAGTCAGAATCTGTATAATAAATCATTGCAATATTGAAATTTAATAGTAAATGTATATTCATGATATTTATAGTGTATTCGTACGTGTAATATAAAATAGATTAATCGATATTCAGATTACTGGTAAGGTAAATAAAAACTGAAGAAAAATATATGAGACTGTACAGTTATGTGGAAAATGTTTCTTTGTGAAATCAACATGAAGGGGATTTTAATAATATACTTCTATTAACATTATGATTTCCATAACAGTTCTGCTTTTTTGTTTTAGATCTATTTTAATTTGCAACATACTATCAAAAAGCTTTATTCCTGTAGGTCTATTACTCTATGATATAAATATAGACTCATATGTCAAATCTACCGTCAGTTCGGGGTGCTTTCAAGCTGAGAACTGACAAGAAACTCGGCTCTTATTCTTTTCAAATGAGCTTCTATATGATTATAAAAATAAAGATTCATTTTTAAAATTAGTTACCACACTGCTATATTATTTGTAAAGATTATTAACTGGTATAGGACAGTTCAATGTGATCAGTAGTATGTATAATTAACACCGCTAATTTTCCTAAAATAAATGAATATATATGTTTTTTGAAGAGATTTTTGTTATTTAGTTATGTTGCACTCTCAAAACATGTAAGTCTCATATATTTTGTTTTCCAGATTCGGTTCATAACAACCAGTGTTTTAAATATAGTAATTCAAAATGACGAATGTCACAATATAATGTAAGTGCGCTATAGAGGTACCTAACAAATATGATTCTGACTGTATGTAGGCGATGTAATGACAAGTTAATGTTGTTTGCTAGTGTTAAATGTGAAAATTAGAGCAAGTGCCATTGGTTGACGCTGGATTTGTTCTTATATCCTTAATAGTAACATTATTTTAACTATTATTACCATTTACAACGATATAACACTATGTTGTACAGTTTTCACGTCTGTTTTTAAATGTACACGTTATTCAAATTGGATATTTAACATTACAATATTATTTACCTAACAATCCATCGACTTGCGAACGGAATATTGTGAAAGCGTAGGAATATCGCGAGCTCGTAAATTATATCATGGTAAATATTCCGTTAATATTCGCATTTATAAATTTGAAAATTATATTCTCTGCCGATCCGTTTTCAATTATATAAATTGAGCATTTGCTTCGTAAAGTTGTACAGTTTCGTCAAACGATAGTTTCGCATTTTAATTCTCTTTTTTTTTATTTTCAATTAACTTAGGTTTAAACATTAAATACATGAAGTTTTCGAATTGTACCAATGAAAGGTGACTCAAATGGTTTACCAGTTGCATATTGGATCGACTCGTATTGTTAACCGAATAAGTTTATTGGATGCCTTTATTGTATTGAACATTTATTTGCCATAGGCCAAAACCATTGACGTTTCTAATGTTATATATATAAGTTTATTTGCCGTTAAAAAAATTAAGAATTTTATTAAATGTCTAATTATATGAATAAAATGTGTAAATGAGAATATACATACGTTTAATTGTTGGACAAATTGGATAATATATATAAAAATGTCTAACAAATGACTTACATTCCAAACTATATCTTTTATTAATAATTATATATGGCTTACGTTAAATGTCGGTACTGTGTAAGTAACCTAATTATACCAAAACAGCAACAATTAGCAATGTACATATATATTGATAACGACTCGCACGCATTGGGATAGAACGAGACAGCAGCTACATACGTCCTGTTCTATCTCATGCGCGCTTATTTCCGTCATGGGTAATTTTATTATATATTTTTTGTAAAAGCGAATTCTTAAAATATTTTTTTTCTAAGTTCTTCCTTGCGATGCTATGAATTATGATATCATAATTAGTGGTATAATAACATTTTTTTTTTATATAAATGAATCTCTAGAAGGTTCAATTTTACACATATTATTCATATTTTATATATTATGTTGCTGCATCGTATTAATATTAAAGTATTCATATTTTTAATGTAAGATAGTTATATTGTATAATTCAATGTTACAGGTGAATTGCCATTATAAACACTATGACCATTTGTGTTGTTGAAAACATATTTACTTTCACACGAACAATTTTTTTTTGCATTTATTATTTGGTCACAAATTATAAATACTATTATATAAAAAAGATCTTATAGATTATTATATAATTATTAATTGTATTATGCATATCGTGAGATATCTTTTATGAAAAAATTCAGTAATATGCTATTGATTGAGTAATTAATACAGCTCGTTA